TATATATATACACATATATATATATATATATATATATATATATACACATATATATATATATATATACATACATACATACACACACACATTAGATAGATGTATAAAAAGAGTTTGTAAACTCAGTCATCCAGTTAGGTGACTGTGCTGTGCAGCTACACCTCTGAGAAGGTCCTGGTGATCTGGTTTGGAGAAAGACGAAGCACTGGGCTGATCTTATGGTTGTTGAAAACAAGACCGATCTGAAAGTGGTGCATGATGTAAGAGCTTCAGGTAGTTTCTCATGAAGGAAGTATGACACTGATGAAGAGGTTGTGAACATTTGTAGAAACGTGAACGTGTTCCAGGAAGAAGAAATGTTTGATGTGTCCAAACCATCAAAGGCAGCGACGACCACTTCACTTCACCTCAGCACCTGTAAAACGTTTGACGCTTTAATGTTGGCTAGCTTGTGGCGGCCATGTTTAATCGACTTCTTAAAGTGAATCAGTTGTAGTTGCATCCAATGATTGGGGGTGGTGGGGGGGGTGTCTTATCGCCTGTGTTTGCCTCCTGTCTGATGTGTGCGTGTTCCGGCAGGAGAGAAGAAGTTCGTGTGCTCCGAGTGCTCCAAGAGGTTCATGCGCAGCGACCACTTGGCCAAGCACATAAAGACTCATCAGAACAAAAAGGGCACCGCCCCCTCCTCCACGCCTCCGCCCGTCAGCGACACCATCATCACCGCGGACGGCACCACGCTCATCCTCCAGACCGCCGCTGCTCACGACCTCGTAGCCAATCAGGACATCCCTCTGCAGCTGGTCACTGTGGCGCCCGGTGAGGTTTTGGAGTAAAACGGGAGTGAGGGGGGGTGATTTCTGAGAACTGGCCAATCAGAGACCTCTAGGAGCATTTCTTTTACCTTCCTCTTTTTCTTTTTTTTTAACATATGGATATATACGTAAATATATATGACAAATATATATATTTTAAGTGAGAGTTACCTTGACTTTGTTTTTTGCAGTCTTTTTATAATAAGGGGTAAAAAGAACGTTCACGTGATCGTACACGAGACAAACATGAATCAACACTCAAGACATTAAAACTCAACACGAAGAAATGCCTTACTTTGTATGATACTCTTGTATAAAATGCTGGAGGTGCGTGTTTTATTATATTTTTTCCAAGCTTTGCAGATAATACAACTGTAACAGAGACAGGGATGCACCGATGCCAGGATCGAGTACTCAATACCGCGTGCCTGTATTCAGACAGTACTAATACCACTTTACCATAATGCAGCAGTCAGGATGAAGTGCTGGCCTGCCACTCCTGACCAGTCGGTGGCGCTAACGCACCATAATATTTGATAACTGTTGCAAGGAGGAGCGAAGGAGACTAAAGTAGAGCAGACCGTAAACCATGTTTAGAGAAAAATCTAGCACTTTTAAGACAAACAGTTCTAGAAAACATCTGAGAAAAATTGAAAATCCAGCGCGGTGCAGAGTTTAGTTTGTAAACAGCCGCGGGAAATACAGAAGCACGAGTTTTCTAATGATCGCACCAATGGGCGCTTTTATAAAATGCACCTGCTTCATCTGAGAAGTTCACACAAAACAGTTTCACAAGTAGTCGTAAAACGGTTAGTTTTGATGAAGTTGATTTCTGTTCAGTGCCCTGAGATAACTTCTGTTGTGACTTGGTGCTATAGAAATAAACTGAACTGAAATTGAATTGAATCTGTAATTTGAAGAAAATGAGAAATTTTAAACGTAAAAAAAAAAAGTCTATTTCAGCAGTCTGATCCAAAGACGCTCCCTGCAGACAGAGGCTTGGAATTACAAGTTTGCTTTTTCTTAATCCGGTTTTAAATCAAATTGGTCAAATTAAATATATTAAATGTGAGTACTTCTGTAGATAAAACATAACCTACAAGTACCTGCAAACACTTGCAAAGAAGGATTATATTTGGTTTATTTAACTACACCTGACCGCACTTCACTGATTAGTTAACATACTCGTATCAGCTCGAACGTAAGTACTTGTACTCTGAATCGGTGCATCCAAAATGGAGTCAGATGTGTTGTGTAGGAACAGCAGGAGGAAGTTCTGACTCTACCTTTAATCTGCAGCTACCATCAATAATGTTAGTTTTTAATGGATTAATCCAACTTTGTTTAACACAACTGGAGGTGGCACCAGTTAAGTTCAAAAGTTGTGCAAAAATAACGGTGGACTCTCCCCGGGTGATTTAAATCAGTGGTTCCCAACACTGGTCCTTGCGGAACACCATCCTGCATGTTCTGGTTGTGTCTGCTCCAACACCTGATCAGTGGTTTCATTACTTGAAGCTCTGCAGAAGTTTGTTGGATCACTCATTCAAATCAGGAAAAAAAACAAAAGCATGGAGGATGGTGTTCCTCAAGGACCAGGACTGGGAACCATTGATTTAGATGATGCGTCTTGTTGCTTCACTCTTTCTGTTGAAGGTAAAAGTTGTTAGCCCAGTTACTAAAGCAGTGGCTGGACTAGCTGCACCACTAGGGTCCAGCAGGTGGTGGGAGAACTGATCCTCCTCATTTAGGGCAGAGACGCTGAGAAAGAGCAGCTTCCTGAGCGCACGGTGCTCGCTCACACATAAAAACACCTTTTTGCTTAATTTTATGTTGTAAATTTCCAAATGTATCTCGAGTTTTTCTTGTTGGCTCATCTGGGTCTCGTCTAAAACCGGAGCCACGTTAACGGTGACCCTAAAGCTTTCACCAAGGACTGCTTCATGGCTGCAGGAGATCACACTAATGTTGCCGCGTGGAGGAAACAGGAAGTCTGCAGCCAGCGGGAGCGCTTCTGTCACCAGACATTCCAGTTGGACACCAAACGGTAACGGCTCTGAGGGTCAGTGTGACCAGATGTCAGTGAAAAGGAAAACAATCATGCCATTTTTGTTTGTTTTTATTTAATCCTCTCGGTTTGTCCTCATGTTCGTAGCATTCATTTACATGTATATGCTCTTGTTTTCACCTTGTTTATAGAAGCCATTACTAGCTGAATTTGTTGTTTCAAAACCTTATTTTAAGTAATTTTTTTTAAAGAATTGGTGTAAAAATTGAATGTTACCTTTTGTAAAACCTTTTTTCAAATGGATCACAATAAAAGTCTGAAAGCTTCCAGTAACTAACTGGTTCGTGTTGATGGCTTTAACAAAGTCCAGTTCTGTTTTATGTTGATCAAAGACCAGATTTAAGAAAAAAACATGAGAATAATATAAAACTGGAACTGAAGAATTGTCCCTTTTTTAAACAAATTATACTCAAACAGGAAATGGATGTTTTCCTGTTTCTTAATAAAACAATCCTTAATGTTTGAATCCACCTGAGAGCTTTTTTAATCATTATAAATTACTCTTGAGGTTTCCTTTGTTAATTTGGTCTTAAAAACTTATCAGTCCCTTTGAACAGAACCTATTGTTGCTGCCAAATGTTTAGTTTGTTCTGAAATTCTTTCACCACATGAGTTGTGGGGAGAACAGAGAAGTTGTGCTTCAACCACAGTCCCGACCAGAATCAGTGCAAACTAACGTCCAGAACAGAAAACGGTAAAAAAAACTAGTTTGCTCCACAAAGTACATTCTTACTGCCCGTACAAAAACCCAGCTTGTGGTCAGTCTGTCACAGAGGAGGCTCGGACTGGGAGCAGAGTCCAGTCCAGCGGCTCGTCCTCACAGCTCTGAGTGGACGTCTGACAGAGACACAGAGAAGATGGTCAGAGACGTGAACATCTGTCTGAGCAGTCCAGCTGCTGAATGTCCACTACCTGTTCTCTGCTCCTCCGGCGTGTGGTTCTCCTGGACTCGGGTCTGCAGGCGTTTTATCTCCTGGTCGTAGTCGGTCCACTCTGAGACGATCCGGACCGCAGCCTGCAGCTTGGGCTCCTTGGTCATCGGGTTGTTACACTGTCGTTTAGAAAAATTAAGAGTTAGACTCTGAAACTGAGTCCAGTGTTTAGGTTTTATTTCATGATAATCTGAACATTTTTATTATTTTATCTGAACAACTTTAGCAAAACATAACATTTCTGTTTGTTCTGTGACGTTACAGAACAAACTTGTAAGAAAATTCACAACCAAACCCAACATTAAAATGACGAGTGCTGGATTATTTTCTGTTTATAATCTAGAATGGATTCAAGTGCAACTTCTGCAGACTTCATGGTGGACGATGAGCAAACAGCTTTTACCCAAATCCACTCGTAGGTGCAAATTTCAGCCAATTTTAAACAATTTATTACAGAATTTCACTATTTAATTGGACATTTTAACCGTTTAAATACAATTTTTTTTTAAAAACCTAACCCCAGTAAACCAAGTTTAATTTTAAGTTTACAGTACATGATAGGTTTTTATTAATGACTGAATCTACTCTAACAGTTGCTGCCCTCTAGTGGCTGTTAGCAGAACTGCATATTAAACCAATTCCATTAAACGTGAACTTTTCACACACGCGCACAGTTACCAGATCTATGGTCTTCGCGCTCTTCTTGGAGCTGTCATCGCACCACGTCTCACACCACAGCCACTCCTGAGGCAGAGACTTTATGGGAACCTGATGGATCATGTTGTTGGGAAGATCCTGGAAATAATTAATAATAAGCATAAATCTGTGAGGAGGCACCAACAGGAGCGATATTTACAAATACGGTGCAACAAAACTTTTATATTTTCAAAGTAAAGTCATAAAACGTGGGTCCATCATGAATGCCATCATCTTATATCCCCAGTAAGAAGAGATGCAGCTCACAGACCTGGTCCAGGTTGGACAGGCTGTTTGGGTCCTGGCTCAGTCCCTGGTACTGTCCTCTGAGTCGGTCTCCTGCAGCGATCTTCCTGAACTTCTTCAGGTCGACAACATACAGAGCGCTGCAGGTGGACGTGTGACAGAAACACCACATGAGCACGGGAGTGTAAAAAGTGAAAACGCTGCCCTGCAGCTGAGCCGGCACCTGATGTGGTATCTGCGTCCGGCCAGGTGGCTCGCCCAGTAACCGGACTTCCAGAAGCGGTAGCCGTCCATCTCCCTGCGGCTCTCGCAGAACGGGGTGTAACCGTACGGAGCGCCCTCCAGGTCAAAGTCCCGCAGCTCCCTCAGGTCGGTGCGCACAATCTGAAGAGGAAGCTCAAATGTTTAAGTACACCAGCATGGATTCAAGAAAGCAACACGTCTCAGATCTAAACACGTTTACAGAGAAGTGAATCAAATATAGAAATAAAAGCTACAATTAGATGGAAAACATCTCTTTTAACAAAACTTAAGCAATTTACAATAAAGGTTCATCTTTTTAAGATCACTTGGAACGAGCTCACGCTGACAAACGTCTGAACAGGATGAACGAAATGTGTTTTTATCTGAGCCAACCTGGTCGGCGTCCACAAACAGGATCTTGTCCACAGCGAGCGGGAACAGCACGTCCAAGAAGAGGATCTTGTAGCCCCAGATGATCCTCTGCTTCTCCGTCTGCTGGTGCAGCCAGCGGGGCCACTTGTACTGGACCAGCTCGTACTGGAAACCGTACTCCTTCGCCATGTGAGGAATGAACTCCTGCGAGGAGACGACACGCAGCAACACGAGCTGAGAACCAGGTGGAGTGTTAGATCTTTAATAAACCCTGGTGCTGCCTCCACAACAGAGCTGAGGGATCATCATCAACTAAAAGCAGGAAGTGAAATCTGAGTCAATATGAAGAAGAAGTTCTGATTCCTCAGGAAATATTTTATTTACGCTGCTTTTTCCTCTCCAAGATCCAGTTTTATATTCGTTTTACTGAAAAAGCTGCAGCTGATGTGAGATCTTCGTACTACCTTGAAAGTTGGGGACAGATAGTTCTTCAGGAACCAGAACTTGACGGGGGTTTTGGTGTTTTTCAGAACCGACATCATCATAATCCTGAGAGAAAAGAGAAAACGGAAGAAAATAAAAACACGGACAACACAAAAACACTAAAATCAATCAAATGTTTGCTCACATTAAAAACAAACGAGACGTTAGTGAGAATTTGTGATGTGTTGAACCTTCACCTGAGGAACCTTTCATAGAGATGCCCCGAGGCCACCGAGAAGATATTGATCACGTTATCTTTCTCTTGTTTGGGCTCCTCCACCTTCCCCCCGCCTGTGAAACCTCTGAAGGACCAAAACCAGAAACAGTCTGTCAGTGTTTCCAGGTATCTACAACATATGAAGCTGTAGCTTATTATAATCATTACTGACAAATTAACCCTCTTATGACCAGAAATATAACTGGGCCGCCTGGTATTTTATTTTATAGCTATAAAACTGTCAAAAAACATGTATTGAGTCTGTATTTTTGCTCCTTTTTCCAGAACAACCTCAGCTTTCAGTGTCTGGTAGTTACTTAACGTTTCTGTCTATTAAAGATGAACGAGCAGTTTAAAGAGAAAGAAAAAACAAAAATCAGAATTGAAATTTTCAAGTTTATTACTGATCAGGATCAAAATGACAGGGGCAAACATTTTCAAATGAACAATTTAAACATTGAACTATATTACATACATGCAGAAAAACACTGAAGCCTGGCCTCTAATTTACCAGTTTTTATGAATGTTTTTTTTTTTTGGAGTTTTTATTTGGTGTGGTGGACCCTAAGGGTGCATAAGCAGTTTCTCTCCAGCTGCAAAGAGCCAAAAAAAAGATGAAAATAAAAACTGGGGGGGCGTAACAGAAAATAATTGAGAAGCACTGGTCTAGTGGATCTTTTTTGAGGTAGTTCCAAAATTTTATTCACTATTTCAACACGTCTTCGCTCCGTCTACTTCTCTCCGTCGTCTTCTCTCCATCTTCTTCTCTCCGTCTACTTCTCTACATCTTCTTCTCTACATCTTCTTCGCTCCGTCGTCTTCGCTCCGTCGTCTTCTCTCCGTCTACTTCTTTCCGTCTACTTCTTTCCGTCTTCTTCTCTCCGTCTACTTCTCTCCGTCTACTTCTCTCAGTCTACTTCTCTCAGTCTACTTCTCAGTCTACTTCTCTCAGTCTACTTCTCAGTCTACTTCTCTCCGTCTACTTCTCTCCGTCTACTTCTCTCCGTCTACTTCTCTCAGTCTACTTCTCTCAGTCTACTTCTCTCAGTCTACTTCTCAGTCTACTTCTCTCCGTCTTCTTCTTTCCATCTTCTTTCCGTCTACTTCTTTCCATCTACTTTTCTCAGTCTACTTCTCTCCGTCTTCTTCTTTCCATCTTCTTTCCGTCTACTTTTCTCAGTCTACTTTTCTCCGTCTTCTTCTCTCCGTCTACTTTTCTCCGTCTTCTTCTCTCCGTCTTCTTCTCTCCATCTACTTCTCTCCATCTACTTTTCTCAGTCTACTTTTCTCCGTCTTCTTCTCTCCGTCTTCTTCTCTCCGTCTTCTTCTCTCCATCTACTTCTCTCCTTCTACTTCTCTCCATCTACTTCTCTCCTTCTACTTCTCTCCTTCTACTTCTCTCCTTCTACTTCTCTCCATCTACTTCTCTCCGTCTTCTTCTCTCCGTCTTCTTCTCTCCGTCTTCTTCTCTCCGTCTTCTTCTTTCCGTCTTCTTCTTTCCGTCTTCTTCTCTCCGTCTTCTTCTCCTCTCCATCTTCTTCTCCTCTCCATCTTCTTCTCTCCGTCTTCTTCTCTCCGTCTTCTTCTCTCCGTCTTCTTCTCTCCGTCTTCTTCTTTCCGTCTTCTTCTTTCCATCTTCTTCTCTCCGTCTTCTTCTCCTCTCCATCTTCTTCTCCTCTCCATCTTCTTCTCTCCGTCTTCTTCTTTCCGTCTTCTTTTCTCCGTCTTCTTCTCTCCGTCTTCTTCTCTCCGTCTACTTTTCTCCGTCTTCTTCTCTCCGTCTTCTTCTCTCCGTCTTCTTCTCTCCGTCTTCTCCTCTC